GACAACGGTTCTAAAACAGCTCCTAACATCTGCTATGAAAAATCTAATTTTTTAGTATTGTACCATTATTAATTTTAATAATTTTGTGTATGTTGCATGTTATGGATTTTAATTTGGTCAGAATATACAAAAAATCATGCTATGTTGATTTTTAATAAACTTTCACCATATAATTTTTTATATGTCATTTTGACTGGACATTAAATTTTCATTAAGTATTTTTATATTTTGGGAGAGATATCCTAATTTAGGTAATATGGATAAATTTTAAATTTTGAGAAATAATAGCTATTTTTTTATACGTATGTGACATACATACTTGTTATGATATAAATATTGTGGATGTATATATGTGAAAAAGAGCACACTATATTTTGATGTATATGATTTTTTTTTGTTTAAATTATATTGATTTATATTGATGAATTTATAAAAGCTCTAGTTGGTTAATTAATTGATAAGTATATAATCCTTCTAAAATTAGACCCTAGGGTGTTACTAGGGTGATATTTGATCTCTTTAAAAAAAAAAAAAAACTTCACATATCAAAAGAGATTGGAAGGAGTGATTTTTCCTTCTCCTATGTGGTATTTTTTTATTAACAAAAACACATAAATTAAAAAAGGAAATAGCGGTTACAACAATGAATGACCAGAGAAATAAAAGGAAAATAAAATACAACCCACATTAGGCTCAGTATACGGTCGAGGCTCCCAGCATCCCTGAAGCCTCGCACGGACCATCCATACGGTGAAAAAAGGCGCCCACATCCAACTATCGAAAGACACCGAAGGTTGCCACCAGCTCGACGACAAAGACACGAGCCCCGGCCACATCATTGCCTCAAAAAACCCGATCCAAAATACCAGAAAAACCATTCCGAAGCTATTCCGAAGCAATAAGTGGCAAGAAAAGAAACATTAAATATGAGATTATCTTCTTCTTCGTCCCCTCCCGCGGCCCCTCCCGCGAAATCTCCCACTCCCACGAGAAACAACAGGTCTTACCCGAACCAAGGTAAAATCATTTCTAGGGTCAGAACCACCATAAAAATCCGGTTCAGCCAAATCCGGAGAAGCCACGACAATTAGAAAAATCAGATTCAGATCTAAACTTAGACGAACCGTGCATCCAATCCACATGGTTACAAAATTCAAAACCAGAATTAACACCCACACGGTTAGCCAAAGTCTGAGTATGGACCAAGTTTACAGTAACGTAAACCAAATTACCATTTGAAAAATCCTCCCGCACACCCTCAGGGATAATATCCATATTAACCACAAGAACACATGAAGCCTCGACAACCAAAACTGGCTCTTCACCAGAGCCATTATTAATATTCATGAACGATTCCACAACACCCACAATAGGCGAAGAAATAGCCAACTCATCAAGCACAACCACTACAGGGCAAATTTCCAAAGCATTAATAACACCACCAGAGTTAATACAGGGGACCAATGCCTTAACCTCCGAAATAATTAAAGCTTCATCCCCCAACTTATTTACTTCATCCAATGGCATTTGGGACCCCAACACAACAGGAGCAGAAGCCTCGAACAGAATAGAAGAAACCTCAGTAACAGAAGGAGTAACAGTAGTTTCTACAACAGCCAAAGCAAAAATAGTAGGAGAAGACACAGGGACAGACGGAACAAAAGTAGCACCCGAAATATCACCACCCCCCAAAGAAGAAGAAGGGACGAGATTAGGATTCGGGATCTTACAACCCGCTTTAGAGTGCCCCAAAGAGGAACAATGCACACAATAATCCGGAAAATCCTCAAAAACCACAGATTGCACGTAACCAGAACTTTCCGGCCCAACCCAAATTTTCTCAGGAAATGATTTAGACACATCAATCTCTACCAACACTCTAGCAACAGAAGGTCGGGAACCAGATGATGTAGCGGTCAATTTTTAAAGGTTTGCCGAAAACAGTTCCAAGGCCATGCAAGATTCGAGAAGCATACATGTGAGGCTAGGTTAGGAAATGAAATCCAGATGGGAATCACAGGAGATTCGATTTCCACATCTAAGGTAGGAAACCACTTTATGAGTTTCATGAAACAGCTGTTAACGAAGTAAGAACGATGCGCGAAGATTCTGCAATAATCCAAATCGTTGAAGATCTTAATCAAAATATTACGTTGATTCAGAACAGTAACCGAAACCTCCCCATTTAACTTAAGATTAAAAAAAAAAATTCTAATGGCTTCCAAAGAGGGCCGACGGGCAGGGAACTTCCCAACCAGAGCAAACTCAAAAGGGGCAGCCAAAGACTTAATTTTCAACTCCGAAATCCACAAAGAAGGCATGCCTCTAAAAGAAGAGACTTTAAGTTCAGGAAAATCAACAGGGGCGGAGGCTGAACCAGAGAGAACATCTTTAAATGAGAGGGGTGAAACACCAGGTAAGAAACCAGGATCGCGAAGACGAGAAGAAGCCATAAAATCAAAATCACGAAAACAACAGGAAGAGAAAACTCCCCACGCCGCCGACGAACGCATGAAGGAACGGCCGCCAGGAGGATTAGGGCAAAAACCCTAAACCCCAGAGCCCGCAAAACTTCTCTCCTATGGGGTATATTTATACTTTAAAGGAGAAAATGAGTTACAATATATTTTTTCAAATTTCTTAAAATTCAACAGATTTGTTTGCAATTTTTTAACATTTTTTTGGTATATAATGACTTCATTTAAGTTCAAAAATATATCTTCAAATTAAAAGAAAAAACTTGAATGATAATAAAAATTAGAAATAAATAAAAACTATGCCTTTTTTTAAAACATTAAAATGCACAAAAACTAAATAAATAAAAATAAAAAAAGGGAAATCATGATAAGAGTACATCAAAGATGTAAAAAAGAGATAAACGAGAAAATGAATGTAACAACTATATAAATACAATTATTAAAATAAAAAATATAAATAAACCATTACAAAAATTTAAAATGTAACAACTATATATAATCATGTACGTGACAAATAAATAATTGAAGAAGAAGGGGAGGACCTACAGATCTATAATAATTAATAGCATATTATAAAAATCAAAGATAATACTCTTAAAAAAAGAATAATAATATGTTTATCCTCTAATAAAAAAAGAATAGTCCAAAAGATTTGAAATCAAAACATGGTGTATGGTTCATGATAACTTACAGTCATTAATTGGAGGATCAAATGATCACAAAATCTTACATGCTTCAAGTGAAATCGAACGTCTCGATGAGCTAGACTCCAAAGACTCAATATCATTAAATTTTGAGGTCATTAAGACGCTTAAATGTTGAAAAAATAATAATATGAATAATTCGATAGAAAATTATAAATTTCTAGATAAATTTATCGAAACAACACTCAATATTTATGAATTGAGCATTATTCTTTACATAAAAGAGACCTAAATTAGTGCTAGACTTAATATTAGACAATGATTACATATTAGAAGAACTCTAGACATCTTCTTGATATTCAGTGCTAATGATCGCTGCTAGTTATTGCTGTCGACCAATTGATATCACCTGACTAATGGCACCAAATTATCATAGTTCATACTCCATCATCTGAATGTTGTGGTCCAATTACTGTCGCCTAATCACCATCATTTGGCCATCTTTGTTTGATTGACATAATCTTTTGTTATCATTATTCCTCCACTACTCTCACAATCTCTACAATAATTATGAGAGATAAAACAAGTACTTCCTTTATATTCTCATTTTCTCTAATTGTAGATAAAAATAGATTTCTATAACTTCAAATACATAGTGAATTATTTCAATTAGATCAAGTCTTATAAATTTTTTACCTTTTTATTTTTCACATAAAAACTCTAGTGTTTCTTATATTTTTATGTTTTACCTATATGTTGGATATTCGTTTCAAGCAAAAATGCAAAAATATCTCCCTATCATCAAGACTTTTTCAAAACACAAGTAAAAAGTTGTATCATACATAAATACCGATTCAAAGTCAAAGCCTGTATACCATCACATGTATTTTATCATGTATTATTAACTTTAAGGTTTCGTTCGGGACGATTTTTTTATTGCTTCTTAAAATAATTTTTTAGTATAAAAATTTTTGTAATAAGAAATTATTTTAAAAAACAATAAAAAGCTGTCTCAAAGGAAGCCAAAATCTAATTTATAAATAAGAAGACAGTCTTCACAGAGCGGTCTTCACAGAGCGATATTTCTCGTTATTATCAAGCAATACCTAGCAATATCGAGTAATACCTAGCAATACGCGAACATAGTAATCCCGGATTCTGGTCCGAGTCGGGTCGTGGGGCCGTGCAGTAAAGAGTGAGAGCACGTGACGACATATTATTGACTACCGGAAGTAGAACTAATTATGTCAGATTACCTGAGCTAATAAAAATTCCATCAAGCGACACTCTGATGCCCATAATTAATTTTACAATCACCCCACACCCTCAATCTCTTCTTTCCTGTTTGAGAGCTTTCTCCTTCTCCCATAGCGACCCATTAAACTTCTCTCAAACTCAGTATAATAATGGCTTACTAGATTCAAAATAAGAAACAACAAAATTTCACCAAGCAACTTTAAATCCAACACTCTGCATCTACTGTATATGCAGCTACTTCCATCCACCGCATACAACGCGTGCTTCCATTAGCAGATTAGCTGCGCTAGCAGACCGAATCAGAAATTAATCAAACAAAAAAGAAAATTGCCTTTCATGCCTACTGCAACAACCCATGATCGCTATAATAAAGCTCTCCAATCTCAAAATCCTTCATAGAAAATTTAAACGAGAGAATTACAGGCATCCATATCAGTATATTAAAAAAAAAGAATTTTTATGTTCGCAGATCCAAATATCATTGTCCTGGCATTATAAAGAGACATAAAAAGAGCAGGCTTTGCATTATCTTTTACAGATTCTCATTTGAGTATTTGACAACCTAAAATCAAAACTTCTATATTCAACCATTGTGGCCAAATATAAAAATTCCTCTCTCTCTCGCTCTCGCGCGCGCTTCATCAAGCGAAGGCTGCAAAGCACATTGACCTTACAAAGGCCAAAATACCGATGCGCCTAATACGCTTAGGCCAAATGGTTAAACCCAAAATTAAGGCTAACAATTAAATAAGTTTCTGTTACAAACCGCAAGCACCTTGGATCTGGGTCATCTTACTTATACTGAGGCTAAAGGTCTCGTCTTTGGAGTCGTCTTCTCCCACGGCGATGAGCAGCCCATGCATGGAACTTCGAAACCCTGCTTATCACCATTAATCGAGCTTCATCACGCGGCAATAAAGCACTTCAAAGATCTCAAGTGAACAACTATGAATCAAATTGGATTAATTGACACACCAAATCGAAGTAGGTAGCCATACATAGTTACGAGTCGAGGGAACAAAATTAGTCATTTATCTTCGCCACCGCCATTAATTTACTCAGATGAGTCCGCCATTGCGAATTTGCCGCACCCATCTGAGCCCAAACGATAAATAATAGAAAGAAAGGCTAAATAATAATAAAAAGGAAAGGTTTTGAAGTGAAAAGGAATTGCATATCCGAAGCTGCAAAAAATTGGGCTTCCCTCCTCGATTACGTTTTCCATTTCCCGCCGGATCGATTAAAAAACCATGGAAGGTGGATCCGTTCACCGGTGACTTTGAGTTTGAGCCCATCTCTAGCTCCGACTTGGGCGAAGCGGCATAGCCCCTTGGACTCGCTTCGCTGCCCACGACACGTTAACGTTACTGTTCACCCCCATCTTTCTTTCTTTCTCTCTCTGCGTTCTCTCTCTCTCTCTCTCTCTCTCTCTCTCTCTCTCTCTCGATTTCCAGGCGGAACGCAGACGAAACTTCTCTCTCCTTGGAGGTCAATAGGCTGAAAAGAAAAAAGAGAAAAAAGGGGGAAGCGGTGGCTCCGGCTCCAGGTGCAGGGGTCGCCTTCTATGCGATCCAATCTGGCCCAATTATCCTCCGTGAGTTCTTTCGATGCAAATTAGGGTTTTTCTTGCTTCGTTTCGGTCCTTGGAATTCGCTATATCTCTCTCTCCGTGATCAATATCGCAGTTTGGATCCTTGCCGGAATTTAGGGTTGATTTCTGGGTCACGGGAGCAAGATGATTATCAAGCGAAGCCTGCAGGGGCAAATGCCGAGCCTGAAGCGGTGCAAGGCGGATTGCGGCGGCGAGGGCGATGGAGATGGGGCGGCCGTAAGCCGACGGAAAAAGCGGAGGGTTGATAGCTTCTTTCCGCTCGAGATTTTAGCCGAAATCGGCATTTCAGTGGGGCTGCCTTACCTGCCCGAAGAGTTCCGTCGGAGTTTCTGCAGAGAGGTGTCATTCTTCCCCGGCGAGGCGGAGCTTGAGGCAGCGGAAGCCTTGCGGTTGGTTCCGATTCCGGCGACGGCGCCGCCTGCTCCGTCAACGCCGATTGTACGAACGTCCCGGGGACGGATGCTGGTGCTCCCTTCCCGATTCAATGACTCAGTCCTCACTGACCCATGTAAGAAAGAGAAACCCAAGTTCAAAGCACCGGATTCTGAATTAGATACAGCAGCTAAACCGGCGGAGCGTAAAAAAGAGAACTTTGGTTATAAAGGAAACGGTTTTATAAACCCTGTGGAAGTAAACTCCCTTGCATTGATTAGGGAAGAGGAATGCTATAGGGCGTGCAGAAACTTCAGAGTGAGGAAGTATTCGACATCGCGAAGCACTCTCACATCTCTCTATGAAGCTTTTGTATGTTTGGAGGAGCGTTTTCCGCCTCCAATCGTTTGTGCTGAAGCTCCTACGGGCTTTTATCCTGAACGAGCGACTGAGGAGCGTAGTTTGCCCGCAGACAGAGCTGAACGAAGGCAGGATTATTTTTTCCCAGAGGATTTTCATTTGGGGGATGTACTTTGGGCGAAGTCGGGGAAGAAGTATCCTGTTTGGCCTGCCATTGTCATCAATCCAATTCAACAAGCTCCTGCTATGGTCCTCAATTCCCGCATTGCCGGAGCTCTTTGTGTGATGTTTTTTGGGTTCTCTGGTGAAGAAAGGGTATATTATAACTACGTGACCTTCCTGTATCTCTTTGGGATCTAATGCTTGATCACGGTGAAAGACAAAACTACTAAGAAAATTTCTGAACACGAGAACGACGGATTGCCGTTCATCACACATTGAAAGTTGTGTGAATGATATGATCAGCTGTGATCCATCGTTTTCTTAATTAAGGAATTTTCTTATAAATTCTTTTACTTTTGCCATGCTTTAATTTAGAGCTTAAACATATGTCCAAATCATTATATGCATGCACAAAATATTTACATTTTATATGTTATTTATTTAATAATTATCAAAATTTAATTTGCAGCCAAGTATTTCCCATTTTTTTCCTCTCTTCCTTTATTATCATAATAATGTTTAGTTTATGGTGTAATTAGTTACCTAAATATCTTATGGTTTAGACTATTAAGACTATAATTTGATGATAATAAATAAGATTGGACATTATTTAGATATTTTTTATTTAATAATTATAAGGAATTAATACAATAACAGTCAAATAAGGAGATAATGAAACGAACAATATTTTATTAGTTTTTTTTTTTAAAATTTTGTTTCATACTAATTTTAGTCTTAATTCTTTTTTTTTTTGTGTTTTTCTTCAACTTTATGGGCAGGATTATGGATGGGTTAAACAAGGGATGTTATTTCCATTCATGGAATATTTAGATAGGTTTGTGACCTGAGCTCTGAAACTATTGCATGGTTCTTGCTTTAGTAGTTTTTTTTCGAACCATCACTTTCTTGTGGCAGGTTCCAAGGCCAGACACAACTTTACAGAAGCAGTCCCTCTGAATTTCGCATGGCTATCGATGAGGCATTCTTAGCTGAGCATGGCTTCCTAGGAGCTGAGGTTGATGAAATGAGTTCGGGTGGACAAATGGAAAACAGCCAATCCATGCCCAGAGGGATCCAAGAAGCTACCGATTCAAACCATGACTTGGAATGCCAGTCACAGATGCAGGCAAGATGGTTGCAAGCATTTTTTTTTTTGGAAAAATTTCGATTAGATGGATGTTAAAGTCATCTTACTTATTTTGAGATCAGTGCAATATGAATTTTTTGCTCTCATTTCAAAATAAATTTAAGAATTTTGATGCCCATTATGATAAAATTTTTTAATTAAATATCTTGAGCCAAAATTTTATTTCTTTTGTGCTTTTATACCAACATATGGATAAAGTTATCTTTCTGTGACATGAAAAGATATATGAGAATGAGCAGTTATCAACGAGATCTTCACAGCTTAATCCAGTCATGAAGTTTGGTTGAAACATTAGAGGGACAATAAGATTTAGGCTTCATTTGGGACAGTTTTTTTGCTGCTTTTTAAATAAGCTTTCTAGTACAAAAATTAAAATTTTTATGCTAGAAAGCTACTTTAAGAAGCAATAAAAAAGCCATCACAAAGGAAACCTTAGTTTTGGAGTTCATCTCCAAATGACTATTATAGTCCTACTGATTTTCTCTGTATTAACAAGAAATTTACTTGAAGCAAGATGATATGATTAATTCGGGTAATTGTAGAACTTTTTCATTGCAGCAGAATATGGCATAGTTCATTGTTCTTAGGCTTGTGCTAGCATTATAAGTAGTGTCTGCTGAGTTGTTTGGTTTTACCTTATTTGGCTTTTATTATCAGTCAGGAGACAAATTGGGGCTTAGATGTGAAAGTTGTGGATTGACTTTTCCATTAAAAAACACAAAGAATATGAAGCAGATATCAGAACAGTTGATCTGCAGACACTGTGCAAAGGTATTAATCACTATATCATTGAGATCATTGAGTGAATTTCTAAACATTCGCTTTTATACTTTGAAGCTATTGAGGTCAAAACAATACTGTGGCATTTGCAAGAAGATATGGCGTCACTCAGATAGTGGGAGTTGGGTAAGTTGATATATCTCACTATCATAAAGGTTTGATCTTTAACTGTCAAAATGTATGGATGTGCAAATTATCAATGATTTTATCTGAAATATTCTAGATATTGTAGGTTTGCTGTGATGGATGCCAAGTCTGGGTTCATGCGGAATGTGACAAAATTTGTTGCAATCTTAAGGTCTGCTTCATGTAATCCTTTTGGCGTTTTATTATCATGGGATTTAGTATAGCAATCATCTTCCTTGTATGTGTGCATTGATTTAAATCATCTTGGTATTTTAAAGGATATTGAAAATACTAACTACTATTGTCCGGAGTGCAAGCCAAAATTTAACTATGAATCAGCAAATGCTCATAAGAAGATTTCGCAAGTCAGGTTATTACTTTTTGTTTGTATTTTTCTCTCGTTAATGATTTGGGTTCACATCTGATTTATGATTTCATATAATTAACAAACTCTGCTTTCTTCCTAGCAGATATGATAACAATGGCCGGGTAGAGATGAAACCTGGCCAGGTAGCTGTAATTTGTTCAGGTGTGGAAGGGACATACTTCCCAGAGCAGCACATGTAAGCTTCTTCTTCAGGGCAAAATAAGTTTAATAATAAATGTGGTTCAGCTTTGAATTGCCATGAATGTAGGATAGCTCCTGCTTTACTTTTGTAATCTAGATGGTTTAATTTATAACCATAAAAAATTTGGCTAATACTAGCATAACCAGGTTGCATGTAGCTTATTTTTAACCGAATAATCACTAATTAAAGTTGTGGTGTGGATGTAATGTGGATTAAAGGACAAGTTGGAGAGTAGACTGAAAAAGATTGCAAGGGGATTTATGCTCAGTATATAGCTGTTTTTTATTCTTTATTTGGTTTTTCTTTAATGGTAACAACTATGGATAGAGATTTTCTTATTCATTATTTAATCTTCTTTTCTAGTTGCTTATCATCACCGAGTGCTTTAATAATGGTACTGACATTTTCTCTTTGGTAGGGTATCATGCCATTGTGGCCTTTGCAAGTCGCAGAAGATAACATTAACAGAATGGGAGCGGCATACTGGTTGCAAAACGAAAAACTGGAAGAGTAGCGTCAAGGTCAAAAGTAAAATGCTATCACTTGGAAAATGGGTACTCAATTAACTCATTGTTTTTTTATCATCATCAGGATGCTATTCTTAAACCTGTTCTTCTAAAAGAACGTCTTCTTGTTCACAGTTATTGATATTCTGATACACTTTTAAGGAGCAGAACACTACAAAATTTAACCATTTTAATGTTGTTCTACAGTTGGATCAATACAATGCACTCTTTCCAAACAATGCGAAGCGCCCATCTCCAAAAGTGAGAAAACAGAAACTACTTGATTTCTTACAAGGTATATAAATTTGATCATTTTTTGTACTTTTTTTTTTGGACATTTTGGCAATGTTGCTCCGTTTATGTTCTGAAAAGCCTTGTAGAATGAGTATTTTATGATTTTCATTTCTTTTAAACAGAAGAATATGAACCAATATATGCTAAATGGACAACAGAGCGATGTGCAATCTGCAGATGGGTTGAGGATTGGGACTACAATAAAATTATTATCTGTAATAGGTAGTTCTGGGTTCTTTTCCATTCTTTAAATACACAGGAGTGATTGAACTTCTTATTTATTTGATGTCATAGGTGCTACTCATTGGTACTTGGAAGTTTCTCCTAAATTATTATAGAAACTTACAATTCATATAGTTTGATGTTATTTCTAGGTGCCAAATAGCTGTCCATCAAGAATGCTATGGAGCAAGAAACATTCGGGATTTCACATCTTGGGTTTGCAGAGCCTGCGAAACGCCTCAGTATACACGGGAATGTTGTCTTTGCCCTGTAAAAGGTACTCCCAATATTTCTGGCTTATGAAAATGGAAGTTTTTTGATCTTTGGCGTCACAGCAATTTTTTTATTTGAGATGGAAAATGCTTCGAACCTACGATCATTGTTTAATAAATGATCTACGTTCTTTTTCGCTACATAAATCAAGTCTCACATCCACCAAATGTGTTTCGGATTAATATTCTCTGCATATTTTACTTCACTGCCATGCAAGGTTAAATTTGGTAATGCTGTGTTTATCAAATTTCTTGCAGGTGGTGCTCTTAAGCCAACAGAAATTGAAGAACTCTGGGTTCATGTAACGTGTGCCTGGTTTCAACCTGAAGTATCTTTCTCAAGTGGTGAAAAGATGGAGCCTGCTGTTGGTATTTTGAATGTCCCATTGCAGTCTTTGGCAAAGGTCAATACAGTGAATTTTATGAAAGGCTTATATCAGTTGATTTTCACAATTCTTTTTATTAATGACTGCATTCTTTTCACGTCACAAATGAGTAACTGGCTTGTTTTTTATCCCATCAGACATGTTCGATATGTAAGCAGATGCATGGTTCTTGTACACAGTGCTACAAATGCTCTACTTATTATCATGCTATGTGTGCATCCAGAGCAGGATATCAAATGGAGGTATGGCTGTAAACATGATATTAGTCTTTCTATGTTGATATTATACGACTGATATATTCCATGCTAATATACTGCTTAAATTGTGATTTTTGCGGAATTAATGTGGCATATGGTAAAATTTTATGTTGGGTCGGTTCCTGAACCGACCCAGCCAGCCCCACATGGGCTGGCCCTAGTCTACTGGAGGCAGGTCATACCCCTCCTATATGATTGCAGCCCAAGTTGTGGGCTTCATAGGACTAATTAATGGAGGCGGCTAGGTTAGGAGGGAAAGGAAATTTGAATTCAAGAGAAGTAAGCTTTAAATAGGCATGAGAGGTTAGGGTTAGGGTTTATGCTGATTATTGTTTCTCTTGGAGTCCTCTTTGGTGATTTGGGCTCTAGACTCTTCGTCTAAAGATTGGGAGAGAACAATCATTCTCTCGAATTGAGGATCAATTGTATCTTTGCTTTATGTTTGCTTTGCTTTGATTTTCCTAATACAATCTAGTGTCTTTGGTTGATTTCATTGGCGTTCTTGTGTTCTTTCTCGCTGTTTTTACCAATTTATCGTTATGATTGCTTGCGAACGCAAGTAATCCACAAGTAATTCTGATAGGATTACTTGCGAACTCAAGTATTTCCTATCATTTTACCATCACAATAATATCATAGAAATTGATATTATATCCCATGTAAATTTTAGGTAAGCTGGATTTCAAGCCTCGTAGGATAGTGCCGAAGCCAACACAATACTAATAAAATAAGCAATTATGCAACGAACAAATTTTCTTATATTTGATTATCCTCATTTTGATTGATAGTTTGTAGCAGAAAATATTATACCATTGTCAAAATTGAACATTTAAGATAAAATTGTTGTCTTCACCTCTTAGATATTTATCCATAATTTTTTTTTTGTTAAAGTTGCATTTACCTGTAAAGTTTCTAATTGTTACAAGTTGTTTCATTGTGTTAGATAACATTTTTCTTGGTAAAATCTTGTCAAATGATCAAGTAATGATGCTTGGGCCTCCGTTCTTTAGCAGCACAAGTGCCATAGTAGGGCAAGCAACATTGACAAAATTTCTTGAGCATGATTTTCTTTAAAAAATATTCTGAATCTATGGATAATTTGAATGTTGTTGTATCACATTTAAACGCATGTTTTTTGTGGTCACAATTTACTGATTTTCATTTATTTTTTACCTGCTATAAATATGCAATGCCTTTGTTTTTTTTAGTAAAACAAGGTAATCCATTTGTTTCAACTTTTACCTTTTTTATCTAATTTTAGTCTCAAATGCTTTATGTTGGTATAACAGTCAATGGATTTTATTCTTACTCCATTACTTTGAATGGAAGGTTCAATTTAACATCTTATAATGTTTCCAGTTGCACTGCTTGGAGAAAAATAGGAAACAAGTAACCAAAATGGTCTCATACTGCTTGCAGCACAGGTAAACCTGTGCCCGTTGCTTTCTTAATTTAAAATTACCGTTTTTCATAATTCTGTCTGAATATCCTTGGTCTGTTTCTTTGCTGCAAATTTATATATTTTTTTTTGTGCAGGCCACCAAATCCAGATAATGTATTAATCATACACACTCCTCATGGAGTCTTCTCAGCCAGAGGCTTGCTCCGAAAAAAAGACAAGAAAAATGGTTCAAGGCTGATTAGGAAAGAAAACAATGAGGATGCAACCATTGTAAATACTCTTATTTCTGAAGCTTCTTCTGCTGCTAGGTGCCGGATCTATAAGAAGGTTGATTATAAGGTACATTGTAATGAAAATCTTGATGATTTATTTTGGGAGATTTAAGCTTCGTTTGGGACGACTTCTTTATTGCTTCTTAAAGCAGTTTTATAGTACAAAATTTTAAATTTTTTGCACTAAAAAGTCGCTTTAAGAAGCAGGAAGAAAACCGTCCCAAATGAAGCCTTAGTTTTTGAAAATGATCCAATGTTCCATCCATGCAAACATTAATAACTCATGATTCCTTGCTTTTTATTCTCAAAGAAATAGTCATAGATTTTACTAGTGTCTCATGACACTCCATGCGCTCATTAGTTTGGTGAGTCTTTCCCTTTGAGAGTTTTTAGCATCTGAAAACAAAATTAGTCTTGAACTAAAATGCTTGAGTGACCTTATAATGATTGGTATTTTCTGCTGGGTTTAGCTCATTTCCTTGGGTTTTTCAGAGTGTGTTGTCATTAATATTTATTTCCTTTTTACTTTATTTGTAATGATATTTGTTTGGATATGAATAGTTTGATTTCTTATCTTGTTTTGTGCTTTTTTATTTGGTTTCACGCTTACCCTTAAATTCAAACATGTTATGCATTCGATTTTTTTTATTTTTTTTATGGACTCAAACAAGGTTTCTTTATAATGATGTACGATTAAAATCAACACCTTTTCAGGATCATTGAAACATTTTGTACTGGAAACATACTTATTATGAAAACTTAACATTCTGGTTGTGCTTTTATTGGCCTTCTAATGTAAAATTTCAACCTGCATTAATCTTGCAGAAGTTGATTTTCTTTTATCTTTAACTGTTTATCAGAGGAAGCAAAAAGAACCCATCGCTCATCGTCTTATGGGACCTCGCCATCATCCCTTAAATGAAATTCAGAGATTGAATGCACCTAAGGTGAAACTTTATTTGCAATGTTTTTATGGCTTTACTTTTGCTTATTAAGGAAATGAAAAAAAAAAAATCTTCTTTATAACATTTTTTTGTCAATGATAAACAGGAGGAGAGGGATCCTAATTCATTTTCTTCATTCAGAGAGCGTCTTTACTACTTACAGGCATGTCTCTCCTTTCTATATTTTACCTGTATATTATAATTTGGGCAATGTTGTGACATTTACTTTGAATGCTTCAGTCAACGGAAAATAGCAGGGTCTGCTTTGGAAGATCTGGAATACATGGATGGGGTTTGCTTGCTCGCAGGAATATTCAAGAAGGAGAAATGGTAAATTTACGAATTGAACATAACTTGTAGTTTTATTCTTTCTCCATAAGGAGTTTCGCATTGTCATTCCTAATTTCATAGATTCCTCAAGAGCTACTTCGTATTATGCACTGCTTATCGATACTTTTTGTTAGCTTCTATTTCTAATATTCATTTGATCAATCAATTTTAAAACCAATTTACAAATATGCACTTGTGAACTTATTTTTATTTGCAGGTTCTCGAGTATCGTGGTGAGCAAGTGAGGGGTAGTGTTGCTGATCTGAGAGAGGCTCACTACCGATTAGAAGGGAAGGATTGCTACGTGAGTTCTCTTGTACCACTCTCTGTTTTATGTTGATTTTTAAGATCTTATTTTCTTTAAAAATATAAGCTACTAACTTGAGTTTGTTTTAGCTACACTGATCTGCAAATTATAATCAACAAAAGCGGGCTAACAATCCTCATTAGATGAGTTTGCATTTGTATGGTTGCACACGTTTGCATTTTTGTTTATCTTTTTCTCTTAGGGGTTCCTGGGGTGATTAAATTCGCTAGGTAGGATTGGGTTTGCATGATTAAATTGTTTACTAGATAAGTTGGTTTAGGCCTGTAAGGATTATCTGGTCAGATGGTTTAGCAGTTGCAATCAAATGTGACCGTTGGAATTTGAATATAATTGGATTTATAAGCGGGATTTTCTTTTTTGTGTTTCTATTTGCAGTTGTTCAAGATAAGTGAAGAGGTTGTGGTTGATGCTACAGATAAAGGAAACCTAGCACGGTTAATCAATCACTCAGTGAGGCCATATATACTCAACTATTTTGTCATAATGAATGTTATCTGTTCTAGCTTACTAATGTTTTCTCTTGTTGTGCTCTCTGATGTAGTGCATGCCCAACTGCTATGCAAGGATAATGAGCGTGGGAAACGACGAGAGCAGGATTGTTCTCATTGCCAAGACTAATGTTTCTGCAGGCGACGAGCTAACGTATAATCAGTATCTCAATTTCTCATTTGTTTTAATTTTCTGTTTAGCAATCTTTAGATGACATGAGATGGTTTATTTGCCAAAGTGCTGTTCAATTCTCTCTGAATAACTTGGCACTCAGGAGGCGCTAATACTATGTCTAGGCAACCTACATAATGTTGTAGAAGGATTAAGAAAATATGGTGGTAGATCAAATGTAATTTGGATGGAAGATGTAGAAACAGAATTACATAAAACTGGTTTAGCACCTCATGTAGCACTTTGCAGTTGGGGCTCTCAGTGATTCAATCTAGAGATGATATGATTCTAGCTTAAGTTTGGCTCAAAGTAATTTAATTTGATTTCAAGTGAAGCCGAGCTTGATTATGTGTTAGTTTGTTGTTGTCACGAGCTAGGAAATCAAACATGACTCATCAACTTCAATCCAAGCTCGATTCAAGCCAAAATATGATTCAATTTTGAAAGATTTTTCATTGATAATGATAATTATTACTCCATATATATATATATATATATACATTGTAATAGTTAATTATGGAAAATGGATTAAAAAATGGCTTCTTGATCTCCATCATTTCTCTATTGTCACACTTTGTTTCATCTTCTCTACTCTAATTTTTGCTATGCCTTATCCTTTATCCTCTAGCAACTTTCATGGTATCAGAGTACTAAAGCCAAATGATGACCTCTCTTGCTCATACTTGGTTGATGCTGATATAGGCCCCCAAGGCCATCTCTTTCTTATTAAAAATCCTTCTTATCATCCTCAACCCACCTTTTGTTCTCCCATGGATCGATCGGCCACCTCTATAGTAGCCAACCCCTCACCCATCATGAGAACATTCTTGTCCCCACTCAACTAAAGTTCTTGGTGTCCAACATAAGAACATCATCTTAATCCAAATCACAACTGAAAATGATGTGAAACTGAATCAGAATTGTTTAGAAATAATAAAATAATTGCTTGACTAGCCAATATAAAGATTAACGTTTCACAATTATAGATTTAGGAATCCTTAGTTGCAAAGTTGCTTAGGCAATAGTATATGCTTTGAAGACAGGACAATTCAAAACAATAACAAACATATAAGTAAAATCCAGTGTGCTTAACAAAAATCCACGGGTTAATACTTAGATAATTCACCTTGAGTTTCCCTCACTCATGCTCTCTTTAGGGTTTGCAGAAGAAAGATATCAGCATTACCGATGTGGTCACCACAAGGAGGAGGGAGCTTACAATACCGTCCAAGAGAAAGCTAGCCGGAGTAGGAGGGGTAGGTGGAGGATGTAGGATTTTCCACCGGGTTGGAATGTAGAAGTCGTCGATGGCGGTTGATAGGAAAAAATAGTATTCAATCCACGTACTCTTCAACGGTTGCGTCGATCTCCATGTTGATGTCAAAGAACAACGATCTCAAGACTACATGCCCTTGGGAGTCAAAGACAAACCCATGGTCAATGTCTGGGTTGGCCATGCATGATTGTCCAAAGAGGGAAAATTGAGAGTGAGAGAGGAGGGGGCGGGTAGGTGTTCGTCCCAACAATGGGGGTGGGGAAGGGGAATGAGGATGGGACTTGAATTCTAGAGTTTGGTGGTGGAGGAAGATTAATATTAAATATGGAATTAATTTCAGATTTAATGGGTAATTAGGGCTATGTTTATTTGTAATTTGAAATAATTGGGGAATTAGGAGGGAAAGTGGCGAGAGGATTGTATTAATTAGATCCTTAATTCATGGGATCTAATTAATTGGAGAGAGGAGGGGGGGGGGGGGGGGGGGGGAGAGAGGAAAGAGAGGGGGGTGGTCGGCCAAGGAGAGAAGGGGGAGAGAGGGTTAGGTATTAAGGAGGTGGGCCCAAGCAATTAAGGGATTGATTACTTAAATTTGAAATTAATTTTAGATTCAAGTTAATTGGGGTTTTCCTAAATTGGAGGGGAATTTAAGAAGAATTTGAAATTCAAATATTTTGAATTTGAATTTAATTCTCTCCCTAAATTAGTGGGGCTAAATTAAGAAAGCATTTATGGTGGATTCGAATTCAAAAGTTTGGAGGAAATTATGTGGCCGGCGGCTATGGTGGGGGAGAAGGATGTGGTCGGCGGCTTTAGGTGGTGGAGAAAGGGGCCAGCGGGTGGAGGGAGCCTGGTAGGTTTTCGGCCAGCTTGGGCTTGGTGTTGGGAGCCGACGGGTAGTGGGAAGGGGGAGGGGATATGGTGCCGTCTGTTAGGGGAGATGGGTAGGGGGTGTGAGGGTTGTCGGTTTGGGAGGAGAGGGAGAGGTCTGCCGGCGAGTATGGGAGGAGAAGGGGAAGGAGAAAATTAAAATTAAAGACTAAGAGCTCACCCGTTAGTGGGCTGTTGGGTACTTCATTGGCCTCTCGAAGGCTTCACCACTCTTTCTAGAACTCCAAAACATAGGAGATAGAAATCTGATTTTTTTTTTTTCATTAATCATCATCCTTCATAAGAGGGAAAAGAAGGCTATAAATAGGCCCTCATACAAGAACAAAACAAAAGACCAAATTTCCTCTTGGGGTTACATGCATCTAGTCCCTCAAGTGAGGGTAAAAACGGAAAAGGACACTAATAATAATAAAATTACAATACATCAATCAGAAATAAAAAGATGCGAGCATAGCCGTAGATCTCCTATGTCTCCTCATGTCAGAATCTCCTGTTGATGTCATCATCAGAAAATCACCTAACTTGGCACTCTCAGCTCCTCAAAATCTTCAACGCTAATTGGTTTGCTAGCTGCATAGACAACTCTATCTCCAACCAACTAAACACCTCCCCAATGATGATGGATCAGTCACCCTCAACCTTTAATACAATACCTGGATGCTCATAGACCAAAAATATGCAGAAACTCTTTACTCTACAATCTCAACTCCTCTACTCCTATATGTTTTGAATTTGGACGCTTATGTAGACATTTGGTTCATGATTGAAAGACTCCTATAATCAAGCAATCGTTCAGGTGTTATCCTATTAAAGAATGATGTGCACCATCTCTCATGAAGGGCCAACCAAAAGAAATATATCTATCAGAAATCAAAGCAAAAGTGAACACTACAACCATCACTAATTCACGCATTGACCCTGAGGATATAATCCTACTCACTAGTAAGCCATCTCTCCCTCAAATTTATCATCTACTGAAACGCTCTCACAATCTCAGCTTTGTCAATTTTCCTAACAGTTGACTACTCATGTTGTTCCATAATTTTTTGATGTTGCTAGTTACAAAACTTAGGACCAGAAACAAACAAAATACTCTGATGGTCCCATCTTATAAGACCAGTTGGCTGACATTCTGACTAAAGTATTAACCATCTATCGATTTCTACTGATTTGCAATATGTCCACGCTCCAACCTATAACCATCAACTTGAGGGGGGCTGCCAATAGAGGGGAGATGAGAACAGTGGAAAAGCTGCCGCTGCAAACTGAGGCCTTATTTTATTTTATTTTATTTTTTCGATTTTTTTTCCTTTTCCTTTTAGAAACGGCGAAATTATTTTTTGGTCGCTGTTTGGATGGGATGCTTCTATAGAAATGTTTTTTAGGGAACTTCATTTTTCTATTGTTTTGAGAAGCTTTTTAATATTTGCTTCTCCGTTAGAAAACTCATTCTCTTAACCATTGTTTCTAAAACTATCTTTTACAAAAGGAGAGGAAGAGACAAACGAAGCCTGAATGTGCCCGAACTAGCGCACCTCTAGGATCTCCGCCATTTTCGTGCGATCTCCAAATCAATCTCTCCCATTTCTCTCTAACCGGGATGGTACACTAATAGAATACAGTGTTACACTGTACATACACACTATTTTAGTTGTTTGTTATGGAAAATGGAATGAAAATTTGCTTCTCGGTCTCCACTGTTACAAAAGCTACCAGAAATATTTTGCTAACTTCTTTTATATTATCTACACGCTAACTGTTTATACCAAAAATCTATTTCCATTTCACCCATTCTTTGCTTAGATGCCTTTTTTCTCTGCTGCAGGTATGATTATCTGTTTGATCCCGATGAAGCTGAAGAATGCAAAGTTCCATGCCTTTGCAATTCTTCCAACTGCCGGAAGTTCATGAATTAGGCAGCTTTACAGACAGTTGATTTTTTTCATACACGGGTGCAAGTCTGCCCTCCTTCGACATTGAGGCTTCTCCTTCCGACACAAATTGATGAGTTTATTTTTTTATTTTTCCAATTTTTTTCAATAAGTTTTTCACTTTCTTCCAAAGAAAAAGGCTTTTGGCAAACTTATTGCATTAGGATATAGGCACACAGAAATGGTGCTTCTGCTGTAAATATGTTTCCTTGTCTTTGTAACCAGTTACGATCATTAATCAAACTTCCACATATTATCATTTACTCAGAAGCTAGCCTTTGTTTCTGCTGTAATTTTCTTTTTGCCAATTATCAGCCAAACTGACATTTTTATTCCTTTGATTGCTGTAATGACTGATGAAAACTGAGCAGAATCGAAATAGTCGGTTTTTATTACAGAAGGGAGCTCCGGTTCAACTGCGGAGATGGATTGGTCGTCTTCTTCCAGTTGTTTATCGTTATACTCGTGAGCAAAACCTGGAAGGAAAGACTCTGCCCTCTCCTACTGATGCTTCCTGAAGTGTTGGGATGGCTTGCAAAGGTTCTTCTATGATTTTTTCTGTAAAAAAAATATTTTTGGTCGAGGTTGAAGCCTCTAAGCAGGCGTGTTTCTGTAATAATTATCTATGTTATGCTTTGATTTGTTTATTTTTCTTTTTTAACGAAAAAATATATTTGAATGATCTGTATACATTTTTTCAGTTTGTGTTGGATTTGGTGTTGCCTGTGAAAAGTACTAAGACCAAAAAGTCAAGTTTAGGGGCTGTTTGGATGCAGGATTTAGGCTTAAATCTTGCCAAATAGCAAAAATGACAAATTTTAATCGCACTATAGAAATTTGATTCCCGTTGCGTCTCTGTTTTGCCTTAAATTTTGGATTTATTAAATCAGGGAGTTTGGCAGATTGACTGGATTTAGGGCAGGAGAAAGGTGCCGCAACGACCTATTCTTCGGTCTGCTTAAGCTTGACGGGCAGTCAGCCGAAGACAAGCTCGAGCGCCATTACTTCGAAGCTGTGGACGTCGGTCTTCTTGAAAAAAAGAGAGCAAAGGAAGACAATCTGATGAGATAGATGTGTGGCTAAAACTGTACTTCACGCAATGTTGAAGTAGCAATGAAGAAATTGAGCAGGGACAGCATAACCTAAATAGGCATCATTTGGGATAATATTTTTACTGTTTTTCAAAGTTATATATATAAATTTATAATTTAAAAAAAAAAATTTATTCTAGAAAGATTCTTTTAAAATTAGTAAAAAAGTTATTCTAAATGAAGTCAAAATAAGTTTTTTTTTTTTGTTTCATTAATTTAATATTTAATTTATTAATAATTCATTGAGATATTAATATATAGCAAATATGATTTAAATAATCAAAATTAGAATTGATGAAGAATTTTTAAAGTAGAAATAATGATATTCGTTCATATAAATTAGACACAAATAAATTAATCTTAAAATTAATTTTAATCAATTATAAATATTAACAACTAATTTGATATTATTTAAATTTTATTTGAGTTAACAAACATAAATTTTGAAGTAAATGATCAAATCGTTCATTAAAATTTAAACGGATGTGACAAATAGTTTTCAGTATTTGACTAATTTAGCTCATTTCTAAATATTGAGGCATCGACAAAAATTATATATATATATATATATATATATAAAGTTAAAATATTTATTTTAAGATTAATTAAATTATTAAATCTATAATTATTTTACACATGTAAAATTTGCTTTAGATTTTGAATTGAAAATATTTTTTTTTTATATGAAATGATATATTATATTTTCATTAAATGGGGCTTAAAACAAAAACTTCACTCTATTTACATATGATGCCATTCCAAGGATCCAAGCCCCTTCTTTCAAGCACCTTTCATGGAGGAAGCCGTCAGAGCACAGGTTTGCAAAGGAATGTGAATCCTGTTGCTGGAGCCATTTCACCTTCACCTGTTAACCTATTTTTCTGCACCCGATAAGGCAGAACAATAGCTAGACAGAGCCTGATTACATAAAATTCTGAGATATTTGACTTTATATGCCTCATAGGACACATAATTTGACAAATAGCACTGCTATTTATTTTCTAAAAGAAATATATCTGAAAATTCATTTCGAATGAAACGGTCTGTTATAAGGATTGCTTATTAAGACCTTTCACTGGTTTGAACTAGCTTCAATTCGAACTTTAACTTGAGCTGGTTCGAACATAGTTCAAGCCTTATTTGAATTTGTTTGAACTCAATCATTTGAACCTCCATCGCTCTCGCTATGCCTTCCCTAGTGAGCTTCATCATATGCTCTTGGTCTCACAATACCTTTTTTTAGGGAGCTCTATTATGTGAACTATTGTAAAAATAAGACGGTTGTGATTAAAAACCATATCGAATAAGTAAACCGAGGCGTGCAAATCATTGTTCTTAAAGTTATTAGATTTCCACTCCTCTTAGATGCAAAGGTACACAACAGTCTAACTTCCAGAATTTACTGGACTCTTCACAGTGATCTGCACTAATCATAGCGGGAAATAAAAACAGTGATATAGATATTATTTGCTATGAACATATGTATGGTGGAGTGAATGATGAAGATTTTTTTTTTCATCAAACCCAGGAAGGTCTTATGTAGAGCATAAATAGATAGTCGTTTTAGTTTAAAACATTATATAATTAATTTTTAAACATTATGATAATTAATCTAAAATGATATGAATTTTAAAATAATTAATCACAAATATTATGATAATTAATTTAATTATTTTCCAGTCATCATAAAACAACAGTAGATATTTATGTTACGAAATAATCATTCTCATTGATTAGACATGAGTAATAAATATTTCTATTACTAAACATGAGTCATTGATTGTAAATCATTGTGGGGCTAATTTTCTTTGAAAAGCATAAAATATAACAATCCTCCATATTTTCAAAGAAAAGTAAAATTTTGAATAAGAGTCTGTTCAAAGCAAAAGATATAATGCATAGACATCGATGTCTTTTGGACTATGAAGTAATATTTTATGATAAGAAAATATTTACTTATAGAAATTAAATGAAATTTAATATTTTCTATGAACTTGATTCCTTGAGTATAAACAAGATTATCTACCCATATTACATCAAATAAATGATAGCTATTCATCTCAATTTTACACTTTACGATCACGTATTTGAATTTGAGTTTCATGTGTACTCTAGAGAATTGCCTATATTCTCATAAAAGGTGACCAACCTTTACACTCATATAGGTGAATTCATTAGTTGTGTCTCACAGTAAGCACAATAACTTAAAAGAATTATGAATTCATTAAGAGTAAAAACTCAACCTCTATATCACTGTAAATCATATTATTCAATATTATAGGAATTGATCATAATGTCTATTTTGAATAATCTATCAAGTTGACTAATGACTTGTTCTTCCTATATGAACCTATTTTATGGAATCTCCATAAAAATAGGTTGGGCTACCATCAATATCAACCTTTGTTTATATGCAAAAGTCTCATTCCCCTTGATGCATCCGTTACTTGCTTAATTTTAAGTGGTTTTATTAAAGGATTTGCTAAGTTCATCTCTAACCTCACAAAACTTAGGGATATTATCCCATCACTCTGCTTAAAGCCATGATGTTTGAGGCCAGCCTAATGGACCTTCTCTCCACTAGTAATTACTATACATGGTATAACTAGAGAGTTGACATTCCAATCCGCCTCAAATTGGATAGGATGCTTGTGAATGAAAGCTGGCTTAATCCGTACCCTTTCTCCTTTTATAAAATCCTCAACAACTTTACCTTAGACCACTGTCCTCTTCTTCTTCAAGTGGAGGATAAGTAGAGGTAAAGCCATAAATTTTTGTATAAGAATTTATGGTACAAAATTCTAGAGTTTTGGTGATATCCTCATTATTGTTTTCTCTTCCCTTCCCCAAGGTAATCCCATCATTTTCTTATATCAAAAGCTTAAACTTCTCAAAGCAACTATTAAAGGAAAAAAAATGGAGCAATTCTAACTCCATCACCACTTTTATGGAAATATTTTCTAGCTAGCACTAATCTTATAAGGAGCAACTGGATTCTGATCCACTCAACTCTAAGTTATGCAAAAAATATAAGGACATCAATTTTCAATTATTGCATTATGTTTCCATCTGGTCCTCCTAGACCATCCAAAGAGAAAAGGTAAAGTGGCTAACTCATTGAGAAAATGATCTAAAGTTCCTTTATTCTAAAATTAAAAATAATAAAGCTAGTAAAAACTCTGTTTTAAGTGTTACTCTTTTAGGTCCTATTCATGGCCGTTAGAAGAAAAAACTTGCTATTATTTCTCACTTTGAGAAATTTAATAACTCCCCTCCTCCCCTTCAAGATAACCCCTCTCAAATTCCTACAGATTCTGTTATCCCAGAGCATATGATTAACTCTCTTCTCTTACATGTATCATTTGATGAGGTGCGTGCTGCTATTTTTTCTGGTTCCTTAGTATATGCTCATGGACCAGATGATTTTAATTTTGATTTCTACAAGAAAACTTGGTATGTTAACAGCCCTTTAGTTTGTGCTGCTATTAGATCTTTATTCTCCAAATGTTATATGCCAAGATGCACCAAAGCAACCGCCCTTTCTCTCGTATCCAAAACTCTGCACGCAAATAACATATCTGATTTTAGACCAATTGAACTATGTTATGTTTTTTACAAGATCTTTGTGAAGATTCTAGCATTGAGGATGAAACCCATCATGCCTCATATTATATATTAGAGACAAGCTGTCTTTATCACTAAGAGTCTATCTACTAAAATTCTTAGTTTGTTTGGTATGAACTACAACTGCAAAGCCTTTTGTGTCAAATTTGACATTAGAAAGGCTTTTGACACTATTTCTCACAGTTTCCTTTTTTTGAGAATGACTCAAAAGGGTTTTACCTCTATATTTGTTAGTTGGACTACGAAGTGCATTTAAGATGTTTGTTTTTCAATTTGTATTGATGGGGAGTTAGAAGGTTTTTTCTCTTCCACTTCAGGTTTTAGACAGGGATGCCCACTCAGCCTGTATATCTTTTGCATTATAATGGATGCGATCTCTTATTTACTAGATATTAAAGGAAACCAAGAAGATTTTAAAGGCTTCAGTTATGCAGTTTTCATATTTCCCACCTTCTTTTTACGGACGACCTCTTGATTTTTGGCAATGCTTAAGTACAAAATTGTAACAGGCTTATAAACATCCTCTCTAATTTTTCTAATATCATTGTTCTTCACCTAAACCTTAAAAAGCTCACTTATCAACTCCC